GTCGCCCAGGCCGTCGCCACCAGGAACATGACGCTGAGTCTCCAGATATCGTTGCAGTCGCCGCGTCACTCCGGCGGTTGCGTCTCTGGAACCGTCGCACAGCTGACCCAGAACGAGTCTCATCAGTCTTATCACTCTGGACTACGTTAAAAGAAAAGACATATTATTGACGAACAGGTATCGGGAAGATGTAACGCAGGCGACCGCATCGGCGAAGAAGATCACAGACCCCGCATACATCGCGGGCTCCAGACGGGGAAGCTCGAGTCGCCCCCTGCTGCATCTCGGACAGGTCGAGCGAAGCCGCGCCAGAGGCAACTCATTGACCCCGGACTCCAGACAGCGCGGCGCCCCCCCCTCGCTTTCCGGCGCGACTTGACGGCGCCCGCGCCCCTCTCTACCATGGCGGGCGCGTGGCTCGGGAGGTCGGGGCGCGCCCTCATCCTCCCGCCCTCCATCGACGTGCCCTGCAAGCCGAGGACTCGCCCAGGAAGGCGAACTTCGCGAACCCCCGACCTCTGCCGCGCCCCTTCTTGTTTTTTGTCCTCCGATGCTTGGGGCGCACCGCGCAGGGACCCCTCCGACTCCATAGCACGTGCGCACTCGTGCAGCCGCGCCTGCCACCTCGCACTCGTCGGGGAGACACTCAATCATTCTCATGATACTCCCATAGTGGGCCACACCACAATCGTCGTTCGTGAGATGATACTGGCTCTTGAACTGACCGACCTGCTCGATGGGGCCGCCGCGGCGACGATCGATGAACACGAAGCACCCGGGGGCCGAGCGCGGCGCCTCCAAGGGCCAGCCTGGCCCGGGGGTCTGCGCGCACTTGTCCACGGCGTCTCGAAACGGGATTCTCGACGCGCGCCCGACTAACTGCAGCGCATTGCCTAACAGCCTCGCGTCCAGCCCCGCTCCCCCCCCCCCCCTGCGCGCAACGCCGGGTTCAGCGCGACGCGGCGGATCCCGATCCAGCCCATGTCGGTCCTCATGATGACGACGTCTCCTCCCTCCTCGGTCCCGTTGAGGGCCACTACGGTCCCTCCGTCACCCGCGGCGGCCGACTCCGTCATGACCCACTCGGGGCTGGCTGGGGCTGCACAAAGGGCGGGGGCTGCGGTCGCTGCGAAGGCTCCTGCCGCCGCAGCGGGCGCTCCAGCGCCTGCGGGCGCAACGGCCGCGCCGCCCACCCCAGCAGCCCCCAGCCCAGGCCCTCGGGCGGGCCCCAAGCCAGCCAAAGCGGCAGCCCACCCAGCCTCCGCCCCAGCAACCACGACAGCGCCTCCAGCGGCAGGACCCCCAGCGCCACCGCCACCCAAGCCGAAATCGAACGCGACCCACGACCTGCCAGCGGACAGCACCGCCAGGCGGCCTGCTGTCGTCTCGCGCGTCTGGTTGGTCTCGTCCGCCACCTCGGCCGCGGCGGCTAGGATGGCGGTCTCCTTTCCGATCGTAAGACGACGTCGGGAACCGCGCAGCAGGGCTGGGTCTAGGCCGACATGATCTCGTCTCGTACCTCCGAAGCGCACGGCCAGGATGTCGGGACTGTCGCGGCTGTAGCTCTGGCGTGCTACTGATCAGCATCATATCCCCTTTGTGGACCTGTCGGCAGGTTCACCAAGCGGCCCCAGATGCGGCGCTGGTGCCACCGCCGCTCGCCGACGCATAACACCCACGCCCACGCGCAGACGTCCGCCGGGGAGCTGCCGACGCGTCCGCGCCCGGCACCAGGCCCTCAGCACCCCGTGGCCGCCGTACGCCGCCAGCGCAGCCGCTTGCAGCGCCGCGAGGACTAGGTGCGCCGACAGGGACACCAGCTGGGCCAGCAGGCTCCCTGCCGAGGGATCGCCGCTCGCTGCCGCCTCGGACGCCTCCGAAGTCGCGGCGCAGGCTCGGGCACGCCGGGCAGCTCGCCGGGGGACACGATGGACACGCCAGGCTCGGGCAGCCAGGACAAGGTGGGCACGGTTGCGTCCGCCACCAGTTCAGAAGCTGAGCGACGGCGCCCACAAGCCAACATCCGCTGCGGAACCCCAGAATTGGGATGCTACAAAAGCTTGAGCATTAACGCGAACACGGTCGCAACGGCACCCTCCCGTCCTCACTCCCAGAACACCGTGCACGCCAGAGCAGAGAGCACCATCATTAAAAAGTGTGGGCCAGCTTACCAGAAGTTTCTTCAGCCAAGCCTGGGCCACTGTCAGTTGTTATCGCCCGCGGGGCGAGCGTGCTCAAGAATCTGGGCCAATTTCCTGGCAAGCTGGTTAAGAAACGCTGGCCCCGCTTCTCGGGAGGAGGAGGAGGAGGTTCATGAAACATACGTTCGACGGTTTTGGCATCGAAACACTACGCAAAGAGCGGAGCCCCGTTTGGTCTTGGCTGCACCCACGGGCATGATGAGAGGCAACTCCCAGAACCACTGCGTCGTGACAGAATCTCGACAGACGGTTGTTCCCTCGTTTCGGCAGTCCGCGTGTCACTGAGTCTGAATGTGAGCATGCGGGTGATTGACTCTGGGCTGGTTGAGTCTGGGTGCGAGTGAGGATGAGTCTGACTGAGTCTGAGTCTGAATGTGTCTGCGTGCGAGTATGTGTGAAGGCGAAAATCCAGCCCTAGGAACATGAGGAAAACAGAGGAGTAGTAGAGGAGGAAGAGGTGTAAGTATTAACAGGAACCACTTCTTAGAAGAATCGGGAACATTCACCATTCACGAAGTTGGGGGTCTGGAGCTAATGGAAATCAGCCAGGAGCCATCGAGCCCCTTCCGAAACCAAAAAAGAATCAGTCCAAACCTTTGGACTGTGCTCATGCTGTATTCGGCCATCTGTGGCCTCCAGAGGGGCCCTTCGCCAAGCTCCGGGGACGCGTTGGACAAACAAATTCAAGCCGGTGCCTCGAGGCCCTCTCCCACCAAGGAAAGCCGCCGCGAGCCGCTGGGGGGTAAGTCGCCGACAACACTGCATTCGCATGTAAGTATGGTGATTTCTTGGCGGAGTCCAGATGTCTGCCACAATGAATGAAGACACCCCGTGATAAGGTACACATGTCACGTGCCGCTGGAGATGCGATGGCGATGTGATGAGAAGCCCGTCCCAAGGAAAGGGTGAAGACTTCCAAAGGTCAAGCTCGTACAAATCTCGTCGAGGTGGGGTTCTGCACACGCGTGGGGGGGATCGATGAACAGGGGAGGATGGGATTAAGGAGAAGGAGGATGACGAGGAGGAAGACAAAGAGGAGAGAGGGACAAGGGAGGCAAGAAGAGAAATGAGGTGGAGGGAAACGGAAATGAATGGGGCATGGAGGGGATTAATAGGGCAGATGCGCGGGGTACGCGTGGGGGGGTAGCAGAAAGCGGAGGAGGAAATGGAGGCCGTGAGGCGGGCCAGTGACGGGAAAGAGAGAGAGAGAGAGAGAGAGAGAATCAAAAAAAAGAAAGAGCGATAGAGAGAGAGAGAGAGATAACGATATGGTTTGAGAGAGAGAGAGAGAAAGAAAGAAAGAGAGAGAAAAAGAGAGAGAGAGAGAGAGAGAGAGAGCGAGAGAGAGCGAGAGAGTGCGACAGAGAGAGGGGGGGAGAAAGCCTAGACGGGGCGGAGGGGCGGGGAGAAAGCCCAGACCCTCTCACACGCCTCACACGCCTGGCCCTGGTGGCCACTCTCGTCTTGAAATGCACGGGCCGGACGCCGGGGCCGCAAGCAGATAGTGGCGGAGGAAAAAAGGGGAGGAGGGGAAGAGATCGGAAGGAGGGTGCGGAGGGTGGTGGTGGTGGTGGTGGTGGTAACTGCACAGTGGCATCAAAATCCGAATAGAGCAGCACGCGCCACGACCGCGGCGACGCGGAGGACGACGACATTGTCCAGGCGCGCCGACGAGCACGGACTGGAGAAAGGGCCCACCTTGCAAGGTTCGGCACACAACAAAGGAGGGATTGGAGGTGAGGAGCGAAGCAAACGACGCAATGAGAGGGGAGTTCGAGTGAGCTGCCCATCTCACGGCTGGCGGCCGTGCGGTCGGCGCCATCGTCGCGTCCTCCGTGGCGGTCCCGTGCATCGGAATCGATAGGCCCCGGCGGGCGCACCCCCCTCGGCTCCAGAACCAGTCACCGCTGAGCGGTGCGATGGTTCCAGGGTTGGGGGGCTGAGCCCGATCGAGATCAAAGTGCTCGGGCGCGCGGACAGACGCGTTCGCCGCTCGGAGAAGGAGGAGGATGAGGAGGATAGGGGTGGAAGCTTAGGGAGTAGGAAGTGGGCGGGGGACAAGAGCAGGAGGAACGTGGAAGGGAGTGAAAGGGAGGAGGAAGGGCATGGGATGGAGTGCGAGGAGTGGAGTGAAGGAATGGATGGGGGGAGGGAGTGATGAGAAGGAGAAAGGAGCGGGAGGAGAGAGCGGAGAGAAATGGCGGAGGAGGCAACGGGAGGGAGGGGTAAGGGGGAGAGGGAGTGGACTGGAGGGAGCAAGAGGGAGAGGAACGAAGAGTGTGGAAGGAAGGGTGGCAAGGAGACACGGGTGTGATGGAGCGGGGTGACACACTGGGAGGAGGGAGGGCGCGGCGAGGAGGAGGGAGAGTTTGAAGGTGCCCTGGGACACAAAACTAAATACACACAAATAAAGATAGTCCCCATATTTTCTCATATGTCCTGGGTGTTTGTCTTCCCCCCGCTTCCAATAGTTTCCCATGTTTTCTGGGGCATCGACGATTAATTGTGTCTGTGTGTTTCTTGTCCTCCTGAGAGTTGAAGGGAGGCCTCAGACGACGGCGGAGGAAGAAACATCACGAGATGTATATCTCCAGGTTGCGGTTCCAATGGCTGGTCCGCGAGACCGCACTCTTCCATGACCAGGCGATGACGAAATATGGATAGGCGGAGCACAAATGAAACATAGGGAGTAAGGGTGTTCGCTCGACGCAAGAATGGAGAGGAAGGGGAGAGAAGGGATGATCACTGAGGGAGGCGGAAGAAGGCGAGGAAAGTGGAGATAACATGTCAAAGTGGGGCCTTTCTCTTGCCCTTGTCACCCTCGCGCTCCTCCATGGCCAAGAATATCCAGAACCTGCGATGACATGTCAAAACAAGCAGGGATAGAAGAACGAAGATGAGGAGGAGCAGCAGTAGGAAGATGAGGAGGAGGAGGGGCAAGGCTCTGTAGTCCCAGTGGGAAGCACACGGTGCAAGCATGCAACCGTCGGAGCCCAAATGCCACATTGCTACGGAGTGGGAGAAGCGGGAGGAGCAGACAAATCACGAAGGGCCAGCAGGAGCGCCAAAATGTCCACATCATGCTGAGTCCATTGGCCACCGGCCCGTTTGACAGCGAAAATCGAGCAGGAGCTCAGCAATCCGAAGGAAGCAGTGGCCATGGCCGCGGCAGCATTGGCAGTGAAGTTGACACCCATCGGAGTGGCAGAGATCCGCAGCATGATCCACCTGGCCATCGTGGAAGCACCACCTGCGAGGCGGGATGTATCGATATCCACAGCCTGGGAACCGACTTCCTGGTGCCCCAGCGGGCGGTGGAGATGGATATATTTCGGCCCCCGGGGGCCCGAATATGTTCAGATCCACCGCCTGCCGAGGCTCCGAAAACTGACCCTCCAGGCGGTGGATATGCGTGAATTCCCGCCTCGGACCACCGCCCAGCGCGTTGGAGCGCCAGGTGCAGAAGTGCGTGCGCAGCAGGCAGACCACGGAGTATACATCGCAGGTCTCCGCCGACGGACGGGTCTTGTCCCATACCTAAGCGGTAAAGCACTGCGCGGCTTCGGGTAGCCGCCAATTTCAGGCCTCGTGGCTCCCAAGAAAACTTTTTGGTTACTGAGTGCATTTGGGGCTTGTGTCTCCTTCTTCTCTCTATCCTCCACCGTTCGCGGAACCGTCACTCCCTCCTGCTCCTCCATCTCCAGACTTCCTGCGCAGGAGCTCCAGAAGACGGAATCCGAACCGACTTGCCACCGACAGTCGACTCTGTCAATGGCCTGCACAATGGCTCTGCCCGTCCAAGCGCGACAACCTCCCTTCCGCTGGGCACGATCATAACTGGAAGTCGCACTGGCGGAGCAGGAGACAGCCGGGAACACACAACATGAGGGCAGCATAATCGGCTCGTGCCCCAAGCGCTGCAGGCCTCAGAAATCGCAGTTGGACGAGATTAGTAAGTAACGCTTTAGGTGTAATAGTTCGCTTACGCTACATTCCAAATGCACACCCTCAAAGCTGGAGACGCATGGCGTCGTGCGGTGACTGGCGACGCCTGCCTGGGGCAAGCAGCCCAACCACACGGGCGAGGAATAGGAGAGGAAGGATGGAGAAGCGGAGGAGACATGGTCGGGAACGTTTGCTTGGCGTGTCGCGACGGCGGCCCTGGGCGACACGCTATGCCGTGCAAGTGGACGGCGTGTCGCTCCGCTCCGTGGGGCGGGAGATCGGGAAAAGCTCGGGACGCTCACGACTCGGGACCAGGAAGTGGACAGCGTGTCGTGCCGAAGCGTGGTGGCGCGGTTTCATGGAGGAGGTGAGGAGATGGAGGAGTGAAGAGGAGAAGGAGTGGAGGAGGCTGAGGAAAAGAAGGAGGAGGAGGAGAAGGAGGAGGAGGAGAAGGAGGGGGAGGAGGAGGAAGAGGAGGATGACGAGCAGGAGGAGGGGAAGAGTGGAGGGGAGCAAGGAGCCAGCGGAACGGCGCGCTGCCTCAACACTCGCGACTGCGCGGCACAGATCCCGCTCGCACGGGGGATGGCCGCCCCGCATTCGCCGCGAGTCTTCGCCCCTGGAACTCTGACGAACCGTCCGCCTCGCTCAGGGATGTCAGGGTCTCCGCCAGCATGGCCTCGCCCTCGTCGTAGTTCGGCAGCACCTTGAGATGAAGGTTTCTTTGGGGGAGAAGAGATAGGCAGAGCGAAGGGGACGACCGCAACATCTCTCGAGTGAACTGCGCAGTCCGTAGCCAACGCGGCAGAGACGAACCCGTGGCATACGTTAAAGGTAGCCCCTTTGGGAGGGGGCGCGACAGCACTCTAAAAGCCACTGCGCGCGGGAACACGTTCTCGATGTCTGCAGTGTTCGGGGCGGGGAGGACAGCGGCTTACAGGCCCCCCTCTACAGAGCTCCCTTTTTGTTCGAAATCGGCGCGCCCCTCTCGAAACGACGGCTCCCCAATCCCGAAGACGATGGCGGTTGGTGAAGGTCGTGCCGGCGCCGGCAGCATAGTTTGTTACAGCTGGGCTGAACTCTGCTCCCTGGCAGCACCATGCGACAGAAAGCCCCCCCCGCTCCGACCCTCGACCTGGCCCGGAGGCATCCCCCTGGCCTCCCTCTCTCACCTGCCCCTCGGAGTCGGAGGGGGAAGGGATGGGAAGGGAGAAGCGGGTGGTAGAGGACGCGGCAGAGGAGGAAGGAGGTGCCAGTGGAAAGGAGACGAGGGAGGGGGGGTGGGAGAGGATAGGGGACCAGGAGGGGGCGAGGAAGAGGGAGGACAGACGGGGAGGGGACAGGGGGAGGGGAAGGAAGAGAGGGGCTGGATGGGGTATGGAAGGCGAGCGAGAAAAGAGAGCGGGGGCGCGGAGAGGGGAACGGGAACGGCGGGGCAAGGAAAAGGCAAGAGGGCGGAAAAAGAGCACCGAGAAAAGACGCTTCGCGGAGGGAGGGGAGGGAGGGGACGGGGGGGGGGCGGAGAACTGGACGGGGACGGGGGGTACTGGACAGGAGGGGAGGGGAGGGTACTGGACGGGAGAGCGGAGGGGACGGGAATGGGCTGGACGGGAGGACGGGGGGACGGGAGGACGCGGGGACGGGAGGACGGAGGAGGAAGAGCGGAGGGGCAGGAGAGTGGTGAAGTTGGAGGAGTGGGTGGGGAGGGACAATCACTAGGGGTGGATGGTCGTGGAAGAGAGAGAAGACTGGGGAAAGGAATGTCCGGGATGGCGAGAAGGGAGGGATGGGGCGGGGAGAGCGTGTGCCCAGCAAAGGAGACGTCTTCGCACCCTACCGGATGGACGCCGCTGACAGAACACATTTCCACAGAGGGGGCCGAACGGTCATTCACTGTCCCTGGGTACATGGCTGAAATGGGAGTCCGCGATGCGGATTCTTGTTGTTGTTCGTTGTTGTTTGGCGTCGTCCCCCCCGCGACCCGCCTGCGACCCACCCGCGACCCACCCGCGACCCACCCCGCGACCCACCTGCGACCCACCCGCGACCCACCCTGCGACCCATCCCGCGACCCGCCCACGACCCACCCGCGACACACCCGCGACACACCTGCGACCCAGCCGCGACACGGCCCGCGACCCACCCACGACCCACCCGCGACCCACCCGCGACACACCCGCGATCCACCCCGCGACCCACCCACATTGCTCTAACAAAAATTTGCACCTGCGGCGGGCTCGTTGTACACTTTGTAAAATTAGGTGCCTGCGGCGGGCTTCTTCCGAGCCTCGCAGACTGCCGACATCCCCTCCGCCCCCTCACTCGTATCCGCGACTGCGGGGTGCTACGCTTTTTTTGAGATCCTCGCGGATTTTGTGGACCTGCGCTGGACCCCGGTCCCTCGCGAGCGGAGCGCGCCAGAGCGCCGGAGGCGCCACCAGGGGGCCCCAGCGCAGATCCAAGAAATACGCGGGGAACTCCGAAAGAATCGGAGGTTGGGGGGTGAGATCGAAGTGGAACGGAGAGCCCCCCTACCGGGAAATCGATTTCGGTTTCATGTTCGTGCCGCGCGTGCGGGCTAGGCGAAGCTGCGTGGGCGGGCGAAAGGAAATTCTCCTGTGGCTGGGCCGCGGCTAGACCAAAAAGTTCTCCGCCCGGCACCAGGTGGCTCGCGGTTTCCCGCCAGTGTCCCGCTGGTGTCCCGCTGGTGTCCCGCCGGTGTCCCGTCGTGGCTGGGCCGCGGCCGGACCAAAAGGTTCTCCGCCCGGCAACCGGTGGCGCGCGGTGTCCCGCCGGTGTCCCGCTGGTGTCCCGCCGGTGTCCCGCCGGTGTCCCGTCGTTGTCCCGTGGTGTCCCGTGGTGAGATCGACAGTGAGATCGATAGCGAGATCGATAGTGAGATCGATAATGAGACCGATAGTGAGATCGATAGTGGTATCTATAGTGAGAGATCGATCGTGAGATCTATAGTGGGATCGACCGTAATATCGATAGTGAGATCGATAGTGAGATCGATCGAGTGGGATCGATAGCGAGGTCGATCGTGGAATCGATAGTGAGATGAATAGTGAGATCGAAAGAGAGATCAATAGTGAGATCGATAGCGAGATCGATAGTGGAATCGATAGTGAGATGAATAGTGAGATCGACAATGAGATGACGTAAACAACTCGACACCAATGCTCCCAAGAGCGAGCAGCAACGCAACGATCTCCACTGTCATCGTCAGAACAACAATCACCACTGTTGCCCATTGCTGGCCCCATCCCCCCCCCAACCTCCTTATCACCCGCAGGGTGGTCGTATAGGTATGATTATGCATATGTTCCGCGTCGATTCCAACAGAACGGGGAAAGCCCTCCCCAGACCACCTCCCAACTCCATATTCGGTGGCAACTGATGGGAGCCTCCCATACCAGTTTGTCGGTTCCTGCGAATCGGCGCTAGTCGACGCTAGTCGACGCGAATCGACGCGAATCGACGCTAAATCAGCGCTCATCGACGCTTAATCGACGCTATCCCATCGATCCCCAGACGCTAATCGACGCTAGGGACGGAATTGAGAGGGTACACAAGGCTCCCAAGACCACCTCTGGACTCCACAGGACTAGTCGTCGGGAATCCTTCTTGCACTGATGCAGCCCTGAGTCAGAGAGCGGGGGGCATCCAAAGGCCAGAATGGCCCAAACAAATCGAATCGGAAAATCGGATCGGCAGAAATCGGATCAGCAAACATCGGATAGCAGATTCGGAAAAAGGCATCGGAATCGACGTCCGCGGGCCCAGGCCGAGTCATACTCGAGGAGGTCTAGGCCAAAACCATAATCCAAGGTCGAATCGAATCAAAATCGGAATCCTCGAAACCAAACCAATTCGAATCGACAGAATCGAAATGGCTCCTGGAGTCCCGATACACAGAAACCGTCCGCCCTGATCTTGAACAACGCCAGAACACTGCCCCACCCCGCCAGAAGCAAGGACACGACACCATTGAGGGAGTGAGACCTTCCTGGAAAGACTCGCTACCCTCATGCATGATGCGTCGAATGTCCGTCAGCTTGAGTCGAGCTTGAGCCGACATTGAGTCGACTTTCAGTCGAAATAGAATCAAGCTGGAGCCGAACTGGAGTCGAGCAGCTTGGCGTCGATTAGTGGGCGATCAATGGGGGGGGAAAGGTGCACTTGTCTGCGGCCCTCGATGCCCACCCCGATTATCGCCCCCCCCCCCCCCCCCCTATGCGACGCTTGCTACCGGGCGAGCGTCGAGACCATCTGCGCCCGACGGTCGAGGCGGGGGAGGGCCCTCAAGGGGGGCCAGGAGAAGCTTAGGGAGCCAAGCCCCCGAACATAATCAGCTCCGAGACTACAGGAGCAGAGCAGCGGCGGCAGCGAAGAAGACAACTCCCTCACCTCCCCCGTTAGGCGATGCCCAAGACAGATCCGCCAGGTGGGCCCTGGGAAGCTCGCAAGAACGAGCAGCTAACCACCAATGGCGAGAGCCAGGGGAGAGCCCTCCCAGTGGGGCATGAGCTGGTTTCGCTGGCGTTGGGTTCGCCGACGGCTGGTTTCGCTGGCGCCTGTTTCGCCGGCGCTGGTTTCGCCCCGCTGGTTTGGCCCCGCTGGCATCGCCGGCGGCTGGTTTCGCCCGCGCTGGTATCGCCGGCGCTAGTGTTGCCGACGCCGTCGTCGCCGTCGTCGTCACCGTCGCCGCCATCATCATCGTCGTCGTCGTCATCATCGTCGGGCGTCGGTCGGGTCGGGCGGGCGGACCCGAGCGGGCGGGTCGGGACGGGTCGGGCGGGCGGACCCTGACGGGCGGGTCGTGTCCGACGGGCGGGACATTAAAGTGTGGGGCGCGCTCGACCGAGCACGCGCGATCCCTGACGGGCGGGTCAGGTCGGGCGGGCGGCGGGCGGACCTTAACGGGCGGGTCGGGTCGGGTCGGGTCGGGCGGGCGGACCCTGACGGGCAGGTCGGGTCGGGCGGGCGGGAAATTAAAGTGTGGGGCGCGCTCGACCGAGCTTGGGCGGACCCTAACGGGCGGCCAAGGTCGGGCGGGCGGACCCTCGCGGGCGGGTCGGGTCGGGTCGGGCGGGCGGACCCTAACGGGCGGGTCGGGTCGGGCTGGCGGAACATGAAGTGTGGGACGCGCTCGGCCGAACACGCGCGAATCCTGACACGCGGGTCGGGTCGGGCGGGCGGACCCTCGCTGGCGGGTCGGGTCGGGTCGGGCGGGCGGACCCTGGCAGGTCGGGTCGGGCGGGCGGGACATTGAAGTGTGTGGCACGCTCGACCGAGCACGCGCGAACCCTAACGGGCGGGTCGGGTCGGGCGGGCCGACCCTAGCAGGCGGGTCGGATCGCACAGTTTCGCCGACTGCAGCTGGTTTCGCCGACGGCAGCTGGCTTCGCGGACGGCAAGATAGGGAGGACCACGTCATCAAAAGAGCTTGAACAATGACGCGGGAACTTCCGCCCTGCATCAAATATCCATACGTTTGCGCAACTATCCGTCCTGGTTTTCTGGGGCGGAAATATCCGCCCTCTTTTTCGCATCGTTTGGGGCGCATTCCCCGCACAACTCGAAATCGGGAAATCAACCAAACTACAACAAATCCGGTTTCAGGGCAGACACTTCCGCAAAGGTATGGTGGAACCAGCGACGGCAACGCAGGGCGGAAGACGACATACGAGAGGCTTGAACGTCGGGCGGGAATTCACGCACTCCTCTCTCCTCACGATCTCGCCCGGCATACGGCGGACCTAGAGTCAGGGCCCCCTTAGCATGAAGAAGACGGAACCTGAGAGAAAAAACGGACTCTGGACCCTGAGGGCCTCCCCCTCATCCAGCTGGTCATCTTGCATCGCTTGCCCGAGGGCCCGTGGCCCGTGGAGGGCCCCGGGAGGCCAAGAGCGCAGCAGCACCTCGGGACCCGTGACGCCTCGGGACCCGCTGCCTTCGTGGCGACCTGCCCCTCCGACGAAGGCGTCTGTACACCACCACCGTGCCAGGCCAGGGCCATCCTGGGCCCTAGGATGGTGTATAGACCCTCCTGGCCTCGGCCAGGAGGGCGTATACACCGTGCCAGGGCCAGAGTGACCCTGGCCTGGCACGGCGGTGGTGTCTAGATGCCCCCTCCCGCCGCGCTGCGCCGAGGGCCCCGCCACGACGTGCTTGACCCGGCCCCGCGGCCGCGCGCCGCCCTCCTCCGGGACCTCCTGCGGCGGGGGAGGCAGCGGGCGGCAGAGGCGGGGCGCGGCGACGAGCGGGGGCGAGGGCAGCAGGTCCTCCAGATCCCCACCAGGCCCTCCAGTCCCCCCTCCCCCGCCTCGCCCCCCCCCCTCCTCCAGAGGAGGGAGGGGGGCGAGGCGGAGAGGGAGGAGGAGGAGGAGGAGGAGGAGGAGGAGGAGGAGGAGGACTCAACCCCCTGTCTAAACAGGTGAAACTGTCACACCTGCGCCCAGATCCCCCAGCAGCGGCAGCGGCAAAGGAGCACCCCCCCCCTCCAGTGGGCCATTTCCGCTCAGTCATCGGAAACTATTGGACCTGGCGCCCTCTTTGGGCCACCGTGGTGCCCTCTGCTGGGGCCGTCCTAGGGGTTTATTGGAATGGTCTTTGGGACGCCTTGGGGCCGTCTTTGGCCGCTTTCGGGTCCGCACTGGGTAATTTCTTTGGGTTCTCAAAGTGGTTGACCGTCTCGCCTTTTCTGCGTTCAGAAGCTCCAAAACGGCCAACGAGCCCCCAAAGATCGCACAAAGACTGCCCTTGAGGCCCCCACGAGGCCAAAAGGGTCCCAAAACGGACTCAAGAAGGGGCCCAGATGGGAAACCCGAGCGGTCATTTCGAGCCCTCGACTTCGATTGCCGCGACGGAGGCCCCAAGAGGCCCCCAAGAGCCCCCAAATTCCCCCGAGAGGCCCCCAGGGTCTTCCAAGAGGCCCCAAAACTGCTCCCACGAGGCCCTCGAGAGCGCCCCGAGGAGACCCGAAGAAGCACCCCTTAGAACTCTAACCCACAACCCAAGCACGGTGGCACGATTGGCCGCAAGCCACTAAATCTCAAAGTATGTGTGTTGATCTGCTCTGCTCCGTAATACTATGATATGTACCTTCCTATTCTGCTAGAATTATAAGATTGTGTTATGTGCAAATATGATGTGTTATGGTATGACTTGCTCTCTTGCGCTCTGGCTCTCTACTTACACTATGGTGTGTTCTCATTCGAGTTGTAGCAGTAGTAGCCGCAACAACTGTAGTACAAGGAGAGGCGGTTGGCGGGACACTCGGGACACTGGGTGGTCCTGGGGATCTGGCGGCCGCGGTGTGCAGGGTGGGCGGTAGTAGAAAAGGCGATGCGGGAGGCTGGACACTCGGGATCCAGGTGGACCTTAGTATCTGGCGGCCGCTGTATGAAAGGGTGGGCGAATGACGTGCCCTGTATGCAAGGGTGGCCCGATTCTGCCAGGTGGGATAATCAAGTAACTCCATGCGAATGTAAGGGATCGGCTCGCGCCGCTATGGGCGGCGCAGTAGGTGCCGCGAGGGGGGGGGGGGCCAACGCCGACCCAAGGCATCCGCGCGAGCCTTCCAATAGTTAATTTGTATGCGGCCTCTTCTTATGACTATTGCTGTTAGTACTCATGTGCTGAGTTTGATGATTAGTCTGCATCATATTATTCCTTCTCTTCTTCTTCACATCAGTATTCGTAGTATTGCGATTCTTCTTCTTCGACGAGAAAGAGAGAGGGAGATACACACACAGAGGGACAGGGGAGGGGCACGAGGGACAGGAAGGGACACGTTGATGGCAAATCCTCGCCATCGGAAAACAATGCTGCGGCCGCGTCTGGCGGCGTCTTCGAGGTAACATTCCAACACAAGTCAGACCTCGCGGAGCGCCGTGGCCGCGAGAACGAACCGATGAGCCCACCCGTGAGCTGGGACAGCTGGGATAACGTATCGCATGTTTCGCACGGCTCAGGCTCAGACAACGGATGCGAAGGGAGAAGAGAAGAGGATGAGTAGGAGTAGGAGTAGGAGTAGGAGTAGGAGTAGGAGTAGGAGTAGTAGGAGTAGGAATGTGAGGAGGAGGAGGAGGACCGAAAAGGAGCAGGGATGAACAAAAAGGGGGCGGGACGGAGGGGATGAGGAGGAGGAGGAGGAGGAGGAGGCAGCAGGGAGGAGGGAGGAAGAAGACAGGAGGAGGAGGAGGAGGGATGCAGTGGAGGGACGCAGACCAACTGTACTTTGAGCTACACGCAGATGGGTCCGACCCGAAAGCGGAAGCCACCCGTCGCCGTGTCCTAGGATGGAGGAGAAGGAAGACGAGGAGGGGGAGGAAAACACCTTCAGTCGTTGCGGACTGTTGTGTGTTCATGTTGATCTGAAGGACTGGGTTTCCATGGGGGCTAGCGGGGTGCTCTTGTTGCACTGCACCTACATATTCATGTTCTCTCGCCCTATATGCACATATGCCATGGGTTGCGAATTCCACCCGTATCGGCCTGCCGACCGAGGAGGATGGAGGGACATAGAAGGGAGGGATGGAGGGATGAGGAGGGATGATGGAGGAAGAGGGAGAGATGAGGAGGGAGGAGGAGGGTGGCGTTGTTCGTGGCTAGGGGCCCTGGATCATAAACCCAACCCCCGGGGGTCCCCCCCCCCGGTGACGGGGTGGGGACCCATTCGGGTGTTCCCGGGGCCTTTGTTGGAGGGAGGGACGAGGAGGGGCGCGAAGAGGAGGAGGAGGAGGAGGAGGAGGAGGAGGAGGAGGAGGAGGAGGAGGAGGAGGAAGGATGGACACAGGAGGAGGCATTGGAGGGATGGAGGGCGAGAGGAGCGCGAGAGGCGAGGGGCGGGTCGAAGGTGCGAACCTCCACGCTGCCCCTCCCCGCGAGGGCGCAGCCCCGCGCCGCCCGCAGGCGCCCGCAGGCGCCCGCTGCGTGCGGGGGCCGCCGTCCTCTGGGCCGCCGCCCCCTTGCTCGTGCACCAGCTCGTGGACGGTCCTGCCCGAGGCACCCCCGCCGGCGCGGGCTGGGCGCTGCTCTGTGACGCCGCGCAGGGAGGGGAGGAGGAGGCCGCTGCTTTGAAGGCGTCGGCCCTGCATCTTTAGATGCGGCCCGCGCCGTCTAAGAAGCAGGTGCGATTCTAAGAAGCCTTCCCCCCTCCCCTCCCACGCTCTGCGCGAGGCGGAACAAGAGAGAGCCAATCACCAATGAAGGACGCGAGGAACGGAAAAGTTGCCGAAGCCTCAGCTAGCGCCTCGAGGTAAAGGAGGGGAAGAGGGTGGGCACACAATGCTGCAGACAGACTCGAAGGCACTGCGTCGTAAGAAGGTGGGTGGCAAATGATGGCGGGCGACGAGGCTTGCACCTTTCGTGTCCCTTTTGGGCCCTATGCATGGCCCGTAAGGTGCAGAACATGGGCAACTTTCTTCACCCACCATTTCTCGCCACCCTACGTAACGCCCGACTGGTGAGGGGGGGGGTCCCAGGTAACGGTAACTCTTGGGCGGGGTGGGGCACGTCGCCATGGCATGTGCCCGAGCATCCGAATGTGGGGTGGGGGGGGGGGGGGGGGGAAACCCCCCCCCAAAAAACGGTCCATATGTTGTGCGCCTTCGGGGCCACCAGGGTGCCCATCCCCAATGGATCGCCCCCTCATCACACAACGCCCGAGCGGAGGCGGGCGGCGGTCGGCCAGCATGGCAGCGAGACAGCAAGTCGGATCGAGATTTGCGCGTCAGATGGGGCTGAATCACGCGTCGGCACCGGCTCGGATCGGCCAATGCCAGGATGCACGGCGGCGCCATGCAGGCGCGGCATCGGGACACATCGGGCCGCCGGAGGATCGGAATCGGATCGGATCTGGCATGCCGAGATCGACACAGAATCGGATCGATCGGATCGGAATGGGGGCCCCAAGACCTGCGACGGTGCTGACTGACCGACCGAAGCCTTGCGTCAAGCGGGCGCGTGGGCAAGACTGTGCGCGTGGCAGCCAAAGAAGAGAAGCGCAACCAGGAACCAGAGCACAGACCTGGGCTGCTCCCGGGGGCCGAAGCCAGGCGGAGATGAGAGGGGGCCATGACGGCGAGCTCCGGCAAGTCTTCCGGAAGGACCTGGCCGGACCTGGCCGTGGGCGCGCGCGTGCGGCCGACCCGCGACCAGCCAGTACTCTGCGACGTGGCCCTGCTCGCGTGCTCCGTCGACGGCGCGGCAGCCCACGTGGACACCGCGCAGCTCGACGGGGAGGACGGACGAGGGGGCGACGCTCGGACGTCCATTCCCTGTGCTTTTTGTCGGTCTCGTGCGTGGCTTTTTCGCCAAATGATCAAGGATGCTCCTCGATGGTGCTCGCCGAAAGAAAAATGCACACGTCCGAGCGATGCCAAGAAAGTCCCGAGGTCGGCGACGGCGATGAAGAGCAGCGACGGAGGGCGGCGGCGCGACGGCGGCGGCGGCGAGTGGCGAAGCGGGGGGGGATGGCGCGGAGAGCAAGCGCCCGCGCTCGGGGATAGCCGGACTGCCAGGATCAGGTGCGTAGGCACAGTGTTTGAAGGGGCCCTGGGACGCACAAATAGATACACACATGAAAAAATACCCATACTTCCCAATATTTTCTGGGCGACGCCTCTGGGCGGCAAAACATGCTGCGGGGGAGACTCGGAAATCCCCGACGAGGTCGTCAAAAAAATGACGAGGCCGAGCCTGCATTTTGACGAGGCCTCCCGCTGCAGACATCCCACGAAACTCCTCCTCGTCAAAATCCGAGGCGCGGTCGTCAAAAAACGATGGTGAACCCGAGTCCCGGCAAACCCGGGTGTTACGCTCCCCCGAGGGGGGGGGGGCTCTCCCCGCTCTCGGCCTCCGGTGGCCCTGCGGCGCTGGGCCCGCGGCGCGCAGCGCGTGGCCCAGCCGGCAGAGGGTCGACGAACAGCGGGGGCGGGGCGACCCGGTGGCCCGCGGGGGGCCGTGGCCCCAAGGGCGTTGTCCGATCCCTTTCTCCTGAGTTTGCCGTCCGTGCTGCCCCTCCTCCTCCTCCTCCTCCTCCTCCTCCTCCTCCTCCTCCTCGTCACTCCCTCCTCCTTTCCTCCTCCGCCTCCTCCCTCCGCCTCCCTCCGCCTCCCTCACTCCCTCCTCCTCCTCCCTCCTCCCCCCCCTCCCCCCCCTCCTCCTCCTCCTCCTCCTCCTCCTCCTCCTCCTCCTCCTCCTCCTCCTCCTCCTCCTCCTCCTCCTCCTCGGGATGCTCCCCTCCTTGCACCCAGGCTCCAGCCTACCGGGTGCGCACTCTCGGGCGAAGGGTCGTGGTGCAGCCTGCAGGTGCCGCAGGCTGCGTGGCAGAGGCCCGCAGTCGGGAACTTGTGCCTCGCGCGTCGCGGCGGCGGCACCGGCGACGCGCTGCCCGCTCGCTCCGCTTCACGGGGCAAGCGGCTGGGGAAGGATCGGGACGCCGACGCTTATGGGAGATGGGGACGCGGTCAGCGTGTCGCGCCGAGGCGCCGTGGGCCAGGACCCGCGGCGCGGCACGCCAAGCCAGAGCTCCCGACCGTGCGGCGATGCAGGCAGGCTGGGGAACTCACGGGGCCCTCGTGCGGCCATCTCGAGGCCGTAGGGGCCTGCGTGGGGGTCACCTCCAGACCAGTGTGTTGCCTCTTGGGGGGAATCCTGGAGCCATGTTCTGCCCCGTTGTGCCCTCGCTGGCTCTCGTGGAGCGCTGCAGATAGGAAAGCAGAACGAAGGAGGTATGAGGAACGACTGAGAAGGAAGAACAGGATACGGGAGAAGAGGAGGAAGTACGACTCAGCCCGAAACGAGGACCAAGGCCATACGAGGTGGCACAATGACAAGGAGGAGGAGGAGGCGAAGAAGGAGGAGGAGGATGAGGGGAGTTTGAGACAGACAGGGAAGGGGGGGGGCGGGGCAATGGGAGACATGACTGACAGAATTTGGGAGCCAGGAGGGTCGTCTCCACCCAGCCCCTTCCCCCCCTTAGGAGGCAACTCTTGGGAGGTCTTCGCAAGACGAACTCATGGCGATTCAGCCCGATCCAGGCTCATCTGGGAACATGCTGATGGATCAAGCAGGATTGAAGGGGGAAGAGGCCGGATTAAGTGGAACTCGCCAGGAGTACATGTGCCAGATCAGGCCTGCTTGTGACCACGGATCTACCAGCGCCGATGCTGAATTAAACGTTCCAGGAGCTGCATCCTAGCACCCCTGGTGTCCACGACCCGATGATACCGAATGTCGCCGCCGAGCAGACCAGCAGCCACATCGTCACGTTGCAGACCGCTGTGAACACCAGCAGCAGCCTGGACGGCTCGCAACAATAATCACGACGTGCTGCTACTTCGCTATCTGTCGGGCGCACGCCAACCTGAATTGGTGGTCTGTGGGTCTGACGCGGTGATGCCAGATCCATGAATCAGGGAAGGTACACCCGAAATGACTGACCAATGCCGCTTGACTTGGCGACGGAACGGGCCCGTTCTGTATGGAACCGGGGCCCGTTCCTAGCCCACGCGCCTTACTCCATGCCCCTCGTTCCTGGGATTCAGGCCTCGATAGACAACCGTCCCTGGGGATGCTGCCGGGACCACGCATCCGGTGTCGATGATTTGTGTTGCGCCGCAGGCCCCTGGAGCGCTCGCCCCTTTTCTGTGTTTTCTGCACTGGGACGCAGAAGAACACACATATGCAAGATGCGCCCCACTTGGATGCGCACATCCGAACCGAGCAAACAGTATGATAACCCTGAGGGTTTTTTCAGAAACCCCCGAAAGAGGTAAGAGATGTAATTCATTATTTGTTCGGCGGACTTATTCATGGATTGGTGCCCAACCAAGGGGGAAAACTAATTAGCCTGGCGAAGGACCCAACCATACGCAATTGTGGATACAGCAATTGTGAATACCATCTTCGCCCGCGCTCCTTATGTGGCCACGGCTTCCCGCCGGAGCCCGACATGCTCAGGGACACGTTTGTGGCCGTCTTCGCGGGCGCCGACGACCACGAGGACGGCGTCCGCGTCCCCCTGACCGAAGAGCAGAAGCAGGAAAGGGTTCTGAGAGCCATGAAGGAGACTGCCATTGGCGCCTTCGGTGGAGCTCCTATGGGGCCACGATCCTCATGAGGGGTGTGCCGAAATGGCCCGAAGCCGCCATGCGAACGCTGCCACTGGGAGCCTTCGGTGGAGCTCCCTATGGGGCCACGATCCTCGTGAGGGGTGTGCCGAAATGGCCCGAGGCCGCCATGCGAACCCTGCCACTGGGGCCTTCGATGGAGCTCCCTATGGGGCCACGATCCTTGTGAGGGGTGTGCCGAAATGGCCCAGGGCCGCCATGCAAACGCTGCCACTGGGGCCTTCGGTGGAGCTCCCTATGGGGCCAAGATCCTCGTGAGGGGTGTGCCGAAATGGCCCGAGGCCACCATGCGAACCCTGCCACTGGGGCCTTCGATGGAGCTCCCTATGGGGCCACGCTCCTCGTGAGGGGTGTGCCGAAATGGCCTGGGGCCGCCATGCGAACGCTGCCACTGGGGCCTTCGGTGGAGCTCCCTTATAGGGCCACGATCCTTGTGAGGGGTGTGCCGAAATGGCCCGGGGCCGCCATGCGAAAGCTGCCACTGGGGCCCCCGGTGGAGCTCCCTATGGGGCCACGATCCTCATGAGGGGTGTGCCGAAATGGCCCGGGGCCGCCATGCGAACGCTGCCACTGGGGCCTTCGGTGGAGCTCCTTATGGGGCCACGATCCTTGTGAGAGGTGCGCCAAAGTGGGGCGGGGCCCACATGCGAACGCAGCCACTGGGGCCTTCGATGGAGCTCCCTATGGGGCCACGATCCTCGTGAGGGGTGTGCCGAAATGGGGCGGGGCCCACATGCGAACGCTGCCATTGGAGCCCCCGGTGGAGCTCCCTATGGGGCGACGATCTTTGTGAGGGGTGCGCCGAATTGGGGCGGGGCCGCCATGCGAACGCTGCCACTGGGGCCTTCGGTGGAGCTCCCTATGGGGCCACGATCCTCGTGAGGGGTGTGCCAAAATGGGGCGGGGCCCACATGCGAACGCAGCCACTGGAGCCTTCGGTGGAGCTCCTATGGGGCCCGATCCTTGTGAGGGTGCGCCGAAACTGGGCTGGGGCACAAGCGAACGCAGCCACTGGAGCTTCGGTGAAGCTCCCATACATGGGGCCACGAAGCGCTGTATGGGTGGGTGTGAAACGCAAGGAGGAGGGAGGGAGAGGGGGGAGGAGGGGATAGGAGGAAGCGGGGCGACGTCTCTCAAAACGAAGGCCCAACACCACAGGTTATGGTGGAAAAACCCAAAAAACCAAAAAAAACACCGGAATCTTGAAACAAAAACCTTGGGGAGGAGGACATCCTGAAAAAAACTCAAACACGAACCTGCGAAAAACTCAAACCCAGAAAACTAAATTATTCCTGGCGATGGACCCAACCATATGCAGTTACGAGTACCGCAAAGCAGGTTGAACGAATGAGAGGGAACTCCCTAAGGGGCCACGAAACGTGTGAGGGGTGTGCCGAAATGGGTGCGGTGCCGCCATGCGAACGCAGCCACTGGGGCCCTCGGTGGAGCTCCCTATGGGGCCACGAAACGTGTGAGGGGTGTGCCGAAATTGGTGCGGTGCCGCCATGCGAACGCAGCCACTGGGGCCTTCGGTGGAGCTCCCTATGGGGCCACGAAACGTGTGAGGGGTGTGCCGAAATTGGCGCGCTGCCGCCATGCGAACGCAGCCATTGGGGCCTTCGGTGGAGCTCCCTATGGGGCCACGAAACGTGTGAGGGGTTTGCCGAAATGGGCGCTGTGCCGCCATGCGACACAGCCACTGGAGCCTTCGGTGGAGCTTCCTGTTGAGGCCACGGAAAGTGTAGAGGGGTGTGCCGAATATGGGCGATGCGCCATGCGGAACGAAGCATGGGCCCTGGTGGATGCTCCCTATGAGGCCAGAAGCCGTGTGAGGGGTTGTCCGAAATGGGGCGCGGTGCCATATGGGGCGCGGTGCCGCAATGCGAACGCAGCCAATGGGGCCACGAACCGGGGGCCACGAAACGTGTGAGGGGTGTCCCGAAACGGGTGCGGTGCCGCCATGCGAACGCAGCCACGGGGGCCCTCGGTGGAGCTCCCTCAGGGGACACGAAACGTGTGAGGAGTTGGTTGTTTGTGCCGAAATGGGTGCGGTGCCGCCATGCGAACGCAGCCACTGGGGCCCTCGGTGGAGCTCCCTCAGGGGCCACGAAACGTGTGAGGGGTGTGCCGAAATTGGTGCGGTGCCGCCATGCGAACGCAGCCACTGGGGCCTTCGGTGGAGCTCCCTATGGGGCCACGAAACGTGTGAGGGGTGTGCCAGAATGGGGGGTGGAACCGCATGCGGGCGCAGCCACTGGGGCCTTCGGTGGAGCTCCCTATGGGGCCACGAAACGTGTGAGGGGTGTGCCCGAATGGGGGGTGGAACCGCATGCGGGCGCAGCCACTGGGGCCTTCGGTGGAGCTCCCTATGGGGCCACGAAACGTGTGAGGGGTGTGCCGAAATGGATGGTGGGGAGACATGCGAACGCAGCCACTGGGGCCTTCGGTGGAGCTCCCTATGGGGCCACGAAACGTGTGAGGGGTGTGCCAGAATGGGGGGTGGAACCGCATGCGGGCGCAGCCACTGGGGCCTTCGGTGGAGCTCCCTATGGGGCCACGTAACGTGTGAGGGGTGTGCCAGAATGGGGTGTGGAACCGCATGCGGGCGCAGCCACTGGGGCCTTCGGTGGAGCTCCCTATGGGGCCACGAAACGTGTGAGGGGTGTGCCGAAATGGGCGCGGTGCCGCCATGCGGACGCAGCCACTGGGGCCCTCGGTGGAGCTCCCTATGGGGCCACGAAACGTGTGAGGGGTGTCCCGAAATGGGCGCGGTGCCGCCATGCGAACGCAGCAACTGGAGCCCTCGGTGGAGCTCCCTATGGGGCCACGAAACGTGTGAGGGGTGTGCCGGAATGGGCGCGGTGCCGCCATGCGAACGCAGCACGGGGGCCCTCGGTGGCGCTCCCTATGGGGCCCGAAGCGTGTGAGGGGATGTTGATGATGCCGAAATTCGCGCGGTTGCGCGCATGCGAAAAGCAGCCACTGGGGCCCCTCGGTGGAGCTCCCTATGAGGCCACGAAGCGTGGGAGGGGTGTCCCGAAATGGGTGCGGTGCCGCCATGCGAACGCAGCCACTGGGGCTCTCGGTGGAGCTCCCTATGGGGCCACGAAGCGTGTGAGGGGTGTACCGAAATTTTGCGCGTTGCCGCCATGCGAACGCAGCCACTGGAGCCTTCGGTGGAGTTCCCTATGGGGCCACGAAGCGTGTGAGGGGTGCCGAAATGGGTGCGGTACCGCCATGCGAACGCAGCCACGGGGGCCCTCGGTGGAGCTCCCTATGGGGCCACGAAGCGTGTGAGGGGCGTCCCGAAATGTGCGCGGTGCCGCCATGCGAACGCAACCGCTGGGGCCTTCGGTGGAGCTCCCTACGGGGCCACGAAGCGTGTGAGGGGTGTCCCTACGGGGCCACGAAGCGTGTGAGGGGTGTGCCGAAATGGGTGCGGTGCCGCCATGCGAACGCAGCCGCTGGGGCCCTCGGTGGAGCTCCCTATGGGGCCACGAAACGTGTGAGGGGTGTGCCGTGATAGTGGGAGGAGGGGGGAGGGGGGTGAGGAAGGAAGGAAGGAAAGAGTGAGCGCGGGGCGCTGTCTCTTCAAAACGAAGACCCAACACCACAGGATGGTTTGGAACAACTGAAGCTCAAACCCGGGGAAAATCTCAAACCAAACAAAAACTCAAAACATCTCGTAGCCGAAACCTGGGAAACAACTCGGGAGCAACTCTGGAACAAACTTTAAACACACTGTAAACTTATTCTGGCGATGGACCCAACCATATGCAGGTTCCGAGTACCGCAAAGCACGTTGAGCGAATGAAGGGGAAGTCCCTAAGAGGCCACGAAACGTGTAAGAGGTGTGCCGAAATGGGTGCGGTGCCGCCATGCGAACGCAGCCACTGGGGCCCTCGGCGGGGCTCCCTATAGGGCCACGAAGCGTGTGAGGGGTGTGCCGAAATTGGCGCAGTGCCGCCATGCGAGCGCAGCCACTGGGGCCCTCGGTGGGGCTCCCTATGAGGCCAAGAAGCGTGTGAGGGGTGTCCCGAAATGGGCGCGGTGCCGCCATGCGAACGCAGCCACTGGGGCCCTCGGTGGAGCTCCCTATGAGGCAACGAAACGTGTGAGAGGTGTGCCGAAATTGGTGCGGTGCCGCAGTGCGAACGCAGCCGCTGGGG